AGTGTTGCAGATGTCACCAAGGCACCGCAGATTGGAAATGAGTCCAAGGGATTAAGACGAGGTTATTAATTGGAGGCCTTCCCCTTTAAGAATGATTGACAGTTACTTTCTGGACAAGTAATTGCTCTAAATGTCCCCCCCCAGCGCGGGTCCGGGGGGCGGTGGAGGACAAAGCCCCGAACTGCCTTCCCCACTCGGATTGTCTCCCCACAAAGGCGTCCTGCTGGAGTTTGCCGTGTAATCCCCTCATTACAGCCAGGAGGAAGAATTAGAGACAGGGGGAGCGGAGAAGAAAGGCCGGGAGATGGGAGGGGGGAGGGAGGAGGATCTCCTCTGGCGGTGGATGGAGCTCCCCAAGCCCTGGTGGGATGGGGATGCAGCGGCTGGTCCCCGTGATGGGGATAGAGAGCTGGGAGCGATGGGAACGGGGCGTGGGGACAGGGATGGGCACTGGGCATGGGTGCAGCTGTGAGGACCAAGTGTGGGGAGGGGGTTATGGAGGCTGGGGACCCGCCGTGGGGTCTGGGTAGGGGGGACCAGGTGTAGGGACCGTAGGGACTGGGCAGCCTGAACAGCCCTGGGGACCTAGTATGGGGAACAAGGGTAGGGACCAGGTAGGGGGACTGCGTGTGGGGAGTAGCCATGGGGAGCAGGCCCTGGGCACTGTCCATGGGACCGGGTGTGAGGGTCCCACCTCGTCCATTTCTGGCCACGGGGCTGAGCACAGGGACCAGGCGTGGTGACACTCGGTGGGGTCCAGCTGTGGGGGCTGCCCATGGGCCCTGACGTGGGGCTGAGGGGCAGAGGCAGCCGGGCTGGGGGACAGAAACACTGGGGGAAAATGGGGACATCATGAGGGGGGTTGTGGGGTCCCTGTTGCTGTCCCCATTCCTCGGGGGTGGAGGTCCCTTTTCTTTCTCTGCTCACTTTGGATTTTCCTCCCCAGACCTCTTCCTGCCACCTGCAGAAGCTGCCTCAGCTCCCTCCCACCGCCTTCCCCTCCTCACCATGGTTCTGCTTTCGGATGGCAAATGTCACCTGGGGGGGGAGTTGGCTGCCCCACACCGGGTGGCTGCTGGCCCCGTGCTGTGGGACCCCATGGCCACCTCTGTGCTCTAGTTTGGGTCAGCGGCCATCTCAGTGTCCATCCCAGTGGGGCCGTGGGGCTTCTCCTGCGCGGTCTGACCACTATGGGGACAGCTCAGAGATATTGGGGGTGCCGGGAGGAGCTGTGGCTGCCCCATCCCTGGCAGTGCTCAAGGCCAGGTTGGACACAGGGGCTTGGAGCAAGCTGCTCCAGTGGAAGGGGTCCCTGCCCATGGCAGGGGTTGGGACCGGAGGAGCTTTAAGTTCCCTTCCAGGCCAAACCAGGCTGGGATTCTATGACTGTGGCATTGCCACCACCCCAGGGACATGGGCCCACAGCAGGGGGGTGGCACACTCAGTCCTTGGGGACCGGTGACACCCCAACACCATACAGTGCCCTATCTGCAGCAGGGGCATGCTGCCTTTGGGGGCACTGGGGACATCCCCAGGCACTGGTACAGCTCATGGGGCTGGAGATGCAAACAGGCACTTGGACTTGATGTCCCCAGTGCGGCTGGTGCTGGTCCTCTTCTCTGGTGGCTCCTCTGGGGTGTCCCCATGGCCCTGGTGGGTGCTGCCATGCTGCGAGCTGGTCTTAGGAGCCCTCCCTGACCACCTGAAGGGGGGGGGGGGGGCAGCGGGGGGAGGCTGCTGGTGCCCAATGATTCTAATGGCCTTGCAGGAGCAGATAGCAAATTGATTTGCTTCCTCACCCAAGGCCCATAATCGCTTCATCACTTTAAAATATTAATGCTGTACTTCTTTGCTCGTTTCCCAATTACCCTAATTGAAGGCAAATTGGTTAAGAAGGTGCAATGCAGAGTATCAGGGGGTTTAGTTCACTCAAATGACAGTTTTAAACCTCCCTAATCCTATTAACGGGCAAAGCCGCTAACGCTTAGAGACGCTGCGTCAGCTTACCGGGGCCGGGGCCGGGCGGGGGGCGGCCTGGGGGGCACTGGCCCCACGTCACCAGCTCCAGTGGGGATTTGTCACCTTTTTAGTTCATTAAGAGGCCTTGGGCAGGGGTGACCCAAAAGGGTGCTGGGCTGGAGGCAGGTGGCAGCGTGGGGGGACAGGCCGATTATCCAGAGACCTGCCCCAGGGTCCTGACCCGGATCCCAGCTGGCACCGGGATGCAGCCCCACTGGGAGTCAGGGTGGGATGGGTCAGGGTGGGATGGGATCCCAGTGCGGAGCAGGGATGGAGGAACCTGCTGCGGGCCGGGCGGGCTGGGGACCCTGGGGACCCTGTCAAGTGCTGGCACTTGGTGTTGAGTCATGGTGCTGAGTGCCAGTGCTGCTGCCACCCATCAGGGAGCTGACTGGGGGACTGCTGGGGACAGGGGTGGCCCCATCCCATGCAGAGCAGTGAATTGTGAATTTTTGTGCCCGAATGAGAGATTTTACAGGTGCTAAAGAAAGGCTGGAGAGCAGGGATGGTGGGGATGGTGGGGATAGCAGGGATGGTGGGAATGTTGCGGATGGCAGGGGTGGTGGGGATGGCGGGGATGGCGGGGATGGCGGGGATGGGGGGATGGCGGGGATGGCAGGGATGGTGGGGATGGCGGGGATGGCGGGAATGGCGGGGATGGTGGGGATGGCGGGGATGGCGGGGATGGCGGGGATGGTGGGGATGGCGGGGATGGCGGGGATGGTGGGGATGGCGGGGATGGCGGGAATGGCGGGGATGGTGGGGATGGCGGGGATGGCGGGGATGGCGGGGATGGTGGGGATGGCGGGGATGGCGGGAATGGCGGGGATGGTGGGGATGGCGGGGATGGTGGGGATGGCGGGGATGGCGGGGATGGGGATGGTGGGGATGGTGGGAATGGCGTGGATGGGGGGGATGGGGGGGATGGGGGGGATGGGGGGGATGGCGGGGATGGCGGGGATGGCGGGTATGGGGGGGATGGCGGAGATGGGGGGGATGGGGGGATGGGGGGGATGGGGATGGTGGGGATGGTGGGAATGGCGTGGATGGGGGGGATGGCGGGGATGGCGGGGATGGGGGGGATGGCGGGGATGGGGGGGATGGTGGGAATGGCGGGAATGGCGGGAATGGCGGGGATGGCGGGGATGGCGGGGATGGCGGGGATGGGGATGGTGGGGATGGCGGGGATGGGGGGGATGGTGGGAATGGCGGGAATGGCGGGGATGGCGGAGATGGGGGGATGGCGGGGATGGTGGGGATGGCGGGGATGGCGGGGATGGGGATGGTGGGGATGGTGGGAATGGCGTGGATGGGGGGGATGGCGGGAATGGCGGGGATGGCGGGGATGGGGATGGTGGGGATGGCGGGGATGGCGGGGATGGCGGGGATGGGGATGGTGGGGATGGCGGGGATGGCGGGGATGGCGGGGATGGGGATGGTGGGGATGGCGGGAATGGCGGGGATGGCGGAGATGGGGGGATGGCGGGGATGGCGGGGATGGTGGGGATGGCGGGGATGGCGGGGATGGGGGGGATGGTGGGGATGGCGAGGATGGCGGGGATGGGTGGGATGGCGGGGATGGGGGGGATGGGGGGGATGGCGGGGATGGTGGGGATGGCGAGGATGGCGGGGATGGGGGGGATGGCGGGGATGGTGGGGATGGCGGGGATGGTGGGAATGGTGGGAACTGTGGGCATGGAAGGACATGGGCAGAGGCTCCTGGGTGTTAAGCTCATGTCATACACCCCCAGGGATGCTCCAGCAGCCCCTCGGCTGGTACCTGGAGGGGTACATGTCCATGCTGCGGACACACCGAGCACCTCATGCACCCAGGGACCCCCCTTGGTGGAGCTCCTGCAGCTTCGGGGGCTGAGACCTGTGGCTCTTGTGACAACGACGAGCTCTATGGCGCAGCTCCCACCCTCCCAGCCCCATCGCGCAGCCATGTGCAGCCCGGGGCTGGGCCATCCCCACAGATCCTTCCGGAGCAGATGGCCCCGGCGTGGGGAGCCCGGAGACGGCTCAGCGCGTCCACGCTTTCATGCAGACACAGCGGGACTCCGCCGGCGGCTCCGGCTCCGGCTCCGGCTCCAGCTCCGGCTCCGGCTCCAGCTCCGGCTCCGGCTCCGGCTCCAGCTCCAGCTCCAGCTCCGGCTCCGGCTCCGGCGGGAGGTGTCGCTGGGGCCGTACCTTTTACACGGGTTCTGCGAGCGGAGTCCTCGGGGCTCAGGCAGATTAAACCCCGCTAAAATAGGCAGGTATTAAGTGATTCCAGCAGCCCGTAGCTTTCCGGCCCCGCGGCGGGTGAGCCAGCGCTGCTGCAGCGCCTGCGGGCAGGGAGCAGGTCCCCAGAGAGGTGAGAGGCAGAGGGGAACCATGGCCAAAGGGACCCGGCCAAAGGGACCCCGCCAAAGTGACCACATTGCTGCCTGCGCTGGTAGGGGGATGCTCAAGGGGGGATAAATGCTGCCACCATCCTCACCTCATTGGTGCTGCCCCTCAAGGGGTGCCCAGGGTGCGGGGCCATCCGGTCCCACTGGCTCCATTGCCTGGGGGCTGCTATAGAAGGTAGGGAGGGATCTGGGGCCAAGTGTAATGGGCTGGTTCCTGGCTCTGGGGCATGTAGGGCAGCTCTGCTGTAGTGGTGTCATTGAATTCACGCATAACCCCCAGCCCGGGATGGGGTTTGTGTGGGTGAGGGTACAGCAGGAAGAGCAGAGTGGTGCCAGCAAACACTGCCTTTATTGAGCCAAATCGTCACAAAATCCCAGCCTGGTTTGGACTGAAGGCTCCTCCTGTTCCAACCCCTGCCACGAGCAGGGACCCCTTCCACTAGAGCAGCTTGCTCCAAGCCCCTGTGTCCAGCCTGGCTTTGAGCACTGCCATGGATGGGACAGCTGCAAACGGTGTCTGAGGCCCCAGTGCTGGTTCCTGGGGGCCACAGATCATCAGAGTCCCCCCCACCCGTCCTGGGGCTCAGACCAGGGCCACCACAGGGAGGGGCTGGTGGGAACCCAGACATTCTGCAGCCCAGCAACCCAGAAAAGCAATAAGGAATGGGTGTGGGGAGGAAACCCCGCTCCAGTGCAGGTACTGGGATGCTCAGCCCAGGTAATAGCACCCACAGCCTGCACATCCCGTCGGCCCAGCACTGCTGGGGTGGGCAGCACCATCACATCAGGGCACACTTCTCCTTCACCTCACCCACGCTGCCCAGTGCCCGGTCCCGCAGCGCCAGCAGATCCACGTCCCGCAGCTTGCTCAGGTAGGCGAAGGCCCCGGTGCTGCCGCCCTCCTCCTCGTCCTCCTCCTCCTCACCGTGCACCATGGGGGCCAACTCCTGCGGCAGCTCCACCGCGCCGCCGGCCACGTGCAGCTGAGCATCGTCCCGCTCATCCTGCGCGGGGCAGGGTGTTGGGTGCGGGTAGACCTGGCCGCCACCGGCCGTGGGTGCGGGCTGTGGGGGAACCGGTCCCCTGGGGGGGGCATTGGGAAAGGTGGGGGACACCGGGACTGTCCGGTTCCATACGCGGACCACGGGGCAGACACGCGCAGCCGTTTGCTGCCCTCTTCAGGAATCACCTCCCTGGGCAGGCGCCCGGCCTGGGGCTGTCCCGGAGGGTCCATGGGAAGACCTCGAGGTCCCTGCACGGGCTGGTCCTTACCTGGGCCAGGCGGTACTTGTCCCGCAGGTGCATCCGGACAGCGGCCCTCCCCGCCTTCCTCTGTGCAAAGGCCTTGTCCCGCTCAATCCTGCAGCGGCGGGTGCCACCTTGTCACTTCCCACCCCACCAGAGCCACCCTCCCCGGCATTGCCCTGGTCCCCCAGCAGCACAGGACAAGCATTTTCAACCCTTGCAACGTTTTGTCTTCAAGCTTTCGACTTTAAGCTTCTCCTTCCTCATTGGGGTGGATGGAGAAGGGGATGCCGAGGTCCACAGGAGGGTTGTAATGGGGTACGGAGGGCAGGGGCCACATCCTGCCCCTCCAGCCCCAGTGGAGATGCTCAGTGAAGGTGCCCATTGGAGGGGCTTGCTCAGCTCCTGGATGCTGTGTCACTGGGTCCCCACAGCACCAGACTCAAGGTGGTGGGACCTTAACGTAATCCCATGCTGGCCCCTCTCGTCCCTCAGCTCCACGGATGCTGGGCTGGCACCAGGCACCCACCACACCAAGGCACTGGCACCCATGGATGACCCTTGTCACCTACAATGTACCAAACCCCTGACCCAGCCCCAGCACCCACAGGGACCTCCTGTGCTCTGCTCCTGTCCTTTGCCCTGGCTGCTTCCCTGTCCCTGTGCTGCCCTGGGAGAGCCCATGTTGCAGATGGGCCCCCAGTCCCTCTGCATGGGGGACCCCATTGACCCCCAGCCCCACCAAAGCCTCACTTCTCCTCCAGCAGCTGTCGCTGGTACTCCTCAAACTCCTCGCGGTTCATGCCGCTGGGCAGCGTGGCCTCCTTGGCATCCTTGGGGGGCCCCTTGGGTGGCTCCTCCTCCCCCCCCTTGAAGTTCTTCAAGGCAGCCGTGAAGAAGGAGGCCATGAGTGGTGGCTGCGGCCGCCTGTGCCCCACGATGCCGCTGGTCCCAGCCCAGGCCAGTGCCTGCAAGGTCAGCAGGACCAGCCCCAGGGGCACCGCGGATCAGGGGCAGATTAAAGCATTAGGAGGGGAAGCCACAGGCATTGGTGTGGGAATGCCTTCAGGTGCTGCTCACTGCACCCAAGAGTGCTGAGGGACATGCTGGGATGCTGCCCCATGAGGGTGCTGGGGAGGTGGGAGCCCCAGCACACCCTGCATGCAGCCAGGAGACCTCCCATCGCATGGGCCCCAGTGGAGGGCAGCACCCCAGGGCCTCCTTCCTCCTCCTCTTCCCCCTTGCTGTGCACCATGGAGCCCTGTGCTGGGAACCCACAGTCACCCACACGAGCACAGGGAGGGCTGGTGGAAGGAGCTGGTGCAGAGGAGATGCAAGGGGATCCCTCCAGGCCTTTGCCAGGGCCCAGGGGAAGGTCTGGCCTAATTTGAGCCTAGGGGCTGAAAGACGCTGTTGAATTAATTCCTTTGCTTTAATCAAAAAAGCCCAGATCCGTGTGGTTCAGCTGCTGCAGGCAGTAGCTGGGGCGGGGCTGCTTCAGGGTTCAGGTTCCATCCTCCAGTGGGTGGAGATGATCCGTCCTGTCCCTGTCACGGGGATGGGCAGCTCGAAGGGACCCACACCCCATGGGATGTATGTTGTGATGATAGTCCCAACCCTGGTGGGTCCAGGGGGCTTCTGGCCACAGGTCCTGGGAGGAGACAGTGGTTAAACATCCCTCAGGTGCTTCAGCTCCTTCTGCAGCTTCTCAGTGAGCTTCTTGAAGGACGGCCTCTTGCCCGGCTCCAGCGCCCAGCAGCTCTTCATCAGGGCATAGACGGTGTGGGGGCAGCCCTCAGGGGGCTCCATGCGGTACCCCTGCTCCAGAAGCTCCGTCACCTCCTTCAGGCTCTGGCAGGATGGAGAACACAGCTGAGACTCCCCTTCCCTGCCCCTTGCCCCAGGCAGGGGACACTGGGATGTCCCCATCCCACTGACCTGCAGCATCCCCTGGCACAGCACTCACCAGCTTGGGGTAGGGCACGCGGCCGAAAGAGAAGGTTTCCCACAGGAGGACTCCGTAGCTCCACACGTCTGACTTGGAGGAGAATTTCTGCAGCAGCAGAAGGAGGGGAGGCTGAAGCCGACCTCCCCGAGGGCAAAACAGGAGCCAGAGGCTGCTCCCTGCCATCCCCAACTCCCCCTTCCCATCACCTGCACAGCCCCGGGGGTGATCCTGCCACATCTCTTTGGAGCTGCCCCAATACCTGCTATGCACCAGGGCAAGGGCTGGCCAGGACAGAGCCCGAATTTTGGGAGGTGCAGGGCTGAATGTGCCAGAAGCCACTGCAGGACAAGGATGAGCAGAGGGACCCCGGAGCTGCTTTGGGAGGACCCCCCTGTACCCTTCATGCCTTCCCACCACCACTCACATTGTGTTTCAGGGCCTCTGGGGCCGTCCACTTGACAGGCAGCAAAGTGGCATCTGCACCCTTAGGATTGACCCTGGCCAAGCCAAAATCGCTCACTTTGGCCACGCTCTCCTCAGAGATGAGGATGTTGCGGGCAGCCAGGTCCCTGTGCACCAGCTTCTTGGACTCCAGGTAGTCCATGCCCTGAGCCACGTCCCTGTGGTGGGCAAAGGAGACAGAGCACAGTGTCACCTCATGATCCCTGGGGATGCCTGGGGGATGCAGAGCATCAGTTCCCAGCCCGAAGGGAGGGACATGGACTTACAGAGCAAAGAGGAGGAGCTGCTCGGTTGGGACAAGCGCCCGGCCCCGTGTGCGCAGGAAGTTCACCAGGTTGCCCTGATAGAGGAGGATAAACACATCAGGACCAACCTGATGGGGCTGCCCAGAGGCTTTGCCTCTGCAGTGCCCAGCATCCATCCAACTCAGCCGCTAAACATGGATTTGTCCCCAGCTCTGAGTGGCAATAGGTCCTGCTGGCTGAGGACCGGCCGGGGACTCCCACCTTGCTCATGAATTCCATCACGATGTAGAGGCCGTTGTGCAGGATGACACCAAGCAAACACACCAGGTTTTTGTGCCTGACCTTCCTGAAGTGGAGGGGATCCGGGTCAAGGGGGTGCCCGCTCATCCCTGGGACACGAGGCAGGGTGAGGCTGTACCCCCGGGGGACTCACGTCATGGCAGCAGTTTCAGTGAGGAAGGCCTGGGCGGTCACATCACATTTGATGTTCTTCACAGCCACCTTCTGCCCCATGTACTCACCCTGCAGCACATCTGTGAGGGGATGAGGGGGCTCAGGCTCAGCCCCACACCCAACTCCCCTCATCCCAGTCTGAGCCCCCCCATGCCATGGGGATGGGGTGAGGACATTAGGGGGTGCCATTTGGGGAAGCCTGGGGTCAGGGAAGCTCCAAGCCCATCGTCTCACCTACCTCCAAACTCGCCTTGCCCGATGCGGTCTCCCAGCGTGAGATGCTGCAGGTTCAGCAGCCAGCCAGCTGGGCATGGGCACAAGGGCAGGTCAGCAGGGGCCACCATGCTGCCTTGTCCCCAAAACCCGGACCACGACCCTCTGCCTCATCCCCTACCTTTGGCCAACTCCTCCTCGGCTGACTTCATCCCGCTTTTTGGCTTGGGCTTCACCAGCTTGGTGCAGATGGCTCCCTGCTCCTTCATGTAGTACTGCCGAGGGGTGCATGATGGAGGCAAAGCAGTGATGCCACCTCTTACCCCAGGCTTGGGGTATGGAGCTGAGGGATGCTCCATGGGTCCCCCCCCATCATTGCCACCCACAAGGGGCCACGTTTCCCCTGGCACTGCAATTTGCAGCCCGCATCTCAGCCCTGCTCCCACTGGACACAGCCAGGGAACACCGTGATGCACTTGGGGTGCTCCAGGATGCCGCCGGTGAGCCGGACAGCAGCCGATGGGTTATAGCCCTGGCAGTGGAGGGTGGTTTACAGAGGCGATAAGGAGAGGAAGCAATGGCAGCTGCAGTTACAGAGTGGAGCCAGAGGAGCTGAAAGGGGGAAGGACCTACCTGAAAGCAGAATTTGTGTCTAAATGAGGAAAGCATATGAGAATGCAAAGCCCTGGTGAGGAGATGGGCAGCAGCAAGAGAGAGGAGGCTTGGAGGGGACAGAGATGTGGCAAAACACCTCGCTGGGCTTCAGACCCTGTCCAGAGGCTGCCAGGATCTTTGGTTTCCAACATGCCCTAAGCCCTGCTGCCGAGTGAAGCACTGAATGAGCCAGGATGGGGAGAACCCACATGAGGGAGAAAGGGACTTGCCACCACTGTGTGTGGCCCCATGAGGTTTGGTTCTGGTGGGGCTCCCTGCCTGGCGAAGGGGGTCTCACCTCGATCATGTCGATGAGGTTGGAGAAGCGCTGCTGGCTGTCGATGCTGAGTGTGTTCTCCTCGTGCACCACGCGGTAGTGGATCACCTCCCTGCCAAAGCTCACGCACAGCACGTAGTCCCCTGGGTGCCGCACAGACTCGCGCACCAGGAACAGCCCATCCTCAGGGGGCTGCAGCTCCTGCACTGCCTCCACCCCCGAGATCTTCCCATGGAACCAACTGGGGAGAGGACACCGTGAGACTGGCTGTGCTGGGCGGCTTCCCCGACACCGGCAGTGACACGGAGAAAGCAGAGCCCCCAGCAAAGCTATGCAGATGCCATTGCATAAAGCCCCTTCCCATGAGGTCCATCCCAGCTGGCTGGGCACAACTGGGGTCTCTAAGCCCCAGTGAATCTCTCCATTGCCAGGGCATGGCTGCAGGCTGCTCCGGCCCCCAGCTGTACTCACGGCATGAGGCTGAGCTTGGGGTCGGCGCGGATGGGGCCCCGTTGCCGCAGCGCGCTGGCTGCCATCAGCCCCTCCTGCCCCGTCTCGTTGTGTCTGGCGTGGTACCAGCCTTTGCCCTGAGGGCAAGAGGGTCTCAGAGCAAGGGAAGGAAAAGGGGATCCCAGTAGGATGATGGGTCCCATCCACTCCATGTTCCTGGGGCATCCACTGGGCTTACCTCCACGGCCTCAATGATGGTGACCACATCGCCCTTGTGGAAGGCCAGCTCCTGGGGCTTGGGCTTGGTGTGGTTATGCTTGGTGACACACTGTGTCCCTGGGAGCCAATGCTTCTGGAAGGGAGAAGGCAGCATCAGCAAGTGACAACGAGAGCTGGGCCCCCTCCACTTCCCACAGCTGTCAGAGCCAGCCCCAAGGACCATCTGCAGCCCTGGCTGGGAACAACGGGCACCGGGCATGAGCCCTCCTCCACCCCATTGTGGTCCTGGGGTTACACATCACCCCGACGTGGGAAGGGGCAGTGCTGGCGTCCCTGCGGCAGCCCTGCTCACCCCAGACATGGTTGGCCGTCAGCACATCAGGGACTCCCTGTCTTCTCCTGCTGCCACCTGCAGAGAAGAAACCAATGGGGGCTGTGGAGGGATGGGGCTGAGCTGGCCTGTCCCAGGCCACTGCTGTCTCCACCATCTCCTCTGGCCAACACAGTCCTTACAAGCCTTGTCCATCCTGAGGGGATGGACCCACACCAGAGGATGGAGAAAAAGGCTCAAAGTGTTCCAGCCACCGACTCCCTGGACCAAGTGAAATTGTGGACGGGGGGACTCAGCAGGCAAATCCTTGGCAGCACAGGGTCTGGAGGAGGGACAGCCCACCCACTGAAACCCGTGTCCTCGGCGGCCCTGCCTGGGTTGCTGTGCCTCCTCATACCGTGGCATCACCCCATCATGTGTGAAGAGAGATAGTGTGAAGCTATCCTGCAGCTCGCTGCCCCTCTATGTTTCTAAGAACTCAAACCAGCCAGGGAAGCATCAGCTTTTGGAGTAGAGAAACATCTGAGAAGGGGAAGAGATGGTTTCATTCCAGGACTGGTTTTCTTGGTGCTCAGTGAACATGAGGGCCCAGGCAGGGTAATGTGGGGTTGGGATCCCTTGAGAAACCCCACTTTGGCCTCTTGGAAACTTCTCACCAGAGGAGGGTGAAGCCTCCCTGGCTCTGCTGGGCTACAAGAGGCAGAGGGGCTCACTCGGCTCCTTGGAGCACAGCGATGATGCTCTGTGCTCTACTTCTCTTTTGGAGGGTGAGTAACAGTCACTCCTCCACATCACTGGCAGTAAATCCCAGCCTGTCTCCATGACGTGAGGATCTGGGGGCCTTATCCAGTTACTATCCAGAACAACAACAAAAAAGGGACAACTGCAGCTGTGGCAAGATTCATTTTAGCAGGCAGCCCTGTTGTCTCTTCCAGGAGCCATCCTCTTGTTCTGCATCTGTGCCACACGTATTATCTTAGTGGACTTGGAGGTGCAAGGCACAGCCAATGGCTGACATGACTGGATGCATCGCTGTTCACATTCCAGGCTGGATGAGGACCTCATGGCCTTCAGGACAGGGTCTGCTCCCTACCCCTCGCTGTGGTACACATGGTATGAGGATGGACATGCTGGCTGCACCACGAAGGACAACGGCAGCTCTGACAGGTGATCACCTCCTGCTGCTCCAGGACAGTATCCCAAGCGGGGAGCTTCCAGGACCCAATGCACAGCAATGGGAGAGAGGCCAAGCTGCACCCCTGCACTGAGGCTGGCGCTGGGTGCACTGCACGCACCTTTGAAGCACAAACTGGAGCACATACAAACACCCGGACACACCGAGGGTCACTTGGACGAAGAGCAAGTCCTGCTCTTCTGCTGACAAGCAGGAGGCACCTGCCTGCTTTGCCCACTGACCACCACGCTCTTCACGCTACAACGCTACATCCAGCCCTCTCCATGGGCAGAGTAACCGTGAAAACATGGCCCCTGCTCACAGACCCTCGCTCTTACCTCCCAGCAGTGTCCATGCAGGGCTTGGGGACAACGATGTCACCTGTAGCCGGACTCCTGGAGCATAAATTTGCTGTCATAGGGAGCATCAAAGCTCTATTTTCAAGGGCATGCTCCCAGAAAGAGCTCCCGTGTTATTTCCTGATTTCTCTTCTGGTAAGGGCTGCAGATGCAGCGTCCCAGCAGTCCCAGTGCCTGCCACGCCGTCCAACATCCAGCATGGGTGACTCATTATTTGACAACACTTACACCAGCTTTTACCCTTTGAGGGCAGAGGTACACGCCCTGCTAGGAATGGAGATCATCAGATCCTGTATCCTGCAGCGCTGCGCAGGGCTCACAAAGAAGTAATGCAACGAGGGAGATCTGCTCTCACTGCTTTGAGTGCCACCATCAGTGCAGGTCTTGGAGGCTGAGACTCAGGAGAGGATGTGGTGGGAGCGGGAAGGATCCTGAAGTCTACTCTCATCTCAGCACTGACTTGGGGCTGATCCAAGAGCACAGCACATCTTGTGCTCTGCAGGGGAGGAAACCCCAGCTGACAGAATCACACAATCCCAGCCTGGTTTGGGTTGAAGGGACCTTAAAGCTCCTCCAGCTCCAACCCCTGCCACGGGCAGGGACCCCTTCCTCTAGAGCAGCTTGCTCCAAGCCCCTGTGTCCAACCTGGCCTTGAGCACTGCCAGGGATGGGGCAGCCACAGCTTCTCTGGGCACTCTGTGCCAGAAATTGCAGAGACCGTTAAATGAACCCCACTGTAATGGCAGTGTTTTATGTACATCCTCCAGCCCGCAGCTGGAGGGGAGGGGACAGCTGCCCCCACAGCTCGTCCTCCCAGCCACAAAACTGGAGACCTGCTCTGCGCTCACATTCAACATTTCCATTATTCTAAGCAAAAAGGTGGGAAGGGAAAAAAAAGGCAGTTTCAGGCAAACACCATTCCTCATTTGGGGTCTTATTTTTCTTAGGTGTGTAGCTTTGATTTTAACTGAATGGTGTTTAAGCCTTCAAAACATACTGACAATTCAATGGCAAAGGCAGGGTAGAAGAAAACTCCTCCAAACTAACCTGGTGAGCTATTCTTTTCAGATCCTGGTTATACTTTTTCCATCAATAAACAACTTCTCCAAGCCCGTTGAGCAAGTCTGGTCATTGGATCCTTGGCATGTCTGTGCCCAGGAGCACTCCGTGCATTATCCTCTTGATCTGTAAGGATCCCCAGGTGTGTTCAGGCTCGAGCACAAACACAGGAGCGCATCCTGACAGCCCCTGTGCCACGCTCCTGGGGCTCAGTGGCAGAGCTCATGGTGTCTGTGCAGGCTCTGTGACAAACGGATGTGTTCTGTACTTCTGGGTTCTGCCAGATCCGGTTGCTGTCACAGACGTGACCACAGCTCAGAGAACTCAGCATCACATGCAGGGAACAGCTTCCTCATGGCCAGCAGATAAGACTCCCACTTACCTCCGCCAGAGCTAGTCTCCCCTTCCTCATACCTGGCCATCAATCATCCCGTCAGTGCCTTAATCTTTAACACATCGGTCCTCAAAACCCCTTTAGGCACTGGAGCTGCTCTAAGGTCTTCCCAGAGCCTTCTCCAGGCTGAACCAGCCCAGCTCTTTCAGCCTGTCCCCAGAGCAGAGCTGCTCCAGCCCTCTCATGAGCATTAGTCCTTCCTTAGGAAGGAGAAGGCAGAAAGGTCTCTCCTTCCTGGGGAGGGTGTTGCTATCCATCACTATTATTTCAACGGAGCAACTCAGCAGTGCAGAGGAGCCTCAACATCTGAACACGCTTTGAGAACCGCGGAGCGCTCACAACAGGAGCTGCTCCCGGGTGATGCTGTGACCTGTCAACAGCACTCCCAACATGATGCCTTCAAGAACGTGCTGTCTGCCACTCCCAGGACTTCACAGGCCTGATGCCCTGCTTAGAGCCCTTCCTACACAAAGCCCCCCTGCCTGCGGGGAGGACGAAAGTGACATGTGAGAAGTGAAAAGCAAACAAACACGCTGCCCCTTTAACCAAACTTTGCTGCTTCTCTGTGCATTTCCTGTGCCTGGGACTCTGCCTCGGGGGTTTTAGCACTTTGGGATCAGTTTCAAGACCGAGTTCTCAGAGGCTGGTGAAAGTACCAGGAACCCCTCAGCCTTGGTGATCGATTTAACTCTATAAAATAGCCAATCTCTGCTGCTTTCCCATAAAGAGATGCACTGCCCTCCCCAGCCAACACCCCCCCCACACACACCTTTGACCTGCACTTGATCAGAAGCAGAGCTTCCCAGGGATGAACGCAAGTGAACGGGAGCTCAGCTCTGCGCTTCTCTCTGCAAACATTAAAGGTGTGAGACCCCCAAGTGCCTGCAGGATTTCACAGCTGGTAATCTGCTTAACTGCAGTAATTGCACCAGAAAGTCTCCCTCAGAAGCACGCAGAAGGGCAGAATACATCAATCAATCACCTCCATCCTTTGGACGAAGGCTTTGGGAGTCTCCATGGACGATTCTGTTATTTACTGGCGCTTTTCCATCACTCCCCCACTGCACTTCCATGGGCGAATGTAAGAGTGGAACTTGTCTCCCCACCTCCTGCACCAAAACAAAGGCTGTGCCTGGATCTTGCTTTCACAAGATGCACTCCTCAGTGAGATTTTGCCAGCTCATTGAGTAACGCATAGCAGCTATTTGAAAAGCTCACAGCAACAATTACAACACTATTTCAGGCAGGAAGGAAACACGAGATCCATTAAAGCTACAAAGAAAGATGCAAATGAACCCCCTACATAGAAATTTGACTAGAGCATGGTTCATTCACATGTAGAGACAAGGCAGTGTTTGTCACTATAATGGATATGACTTTATTTTAAAGCTCATGGGAACCAACAGTCATCTAGTAAAGAATTATTACAAGCTCTCCCCTGAGCCTTCTCAGACTTGTCAGAATCTTCTAGTGCATAAAGGGGCTACAGGAAACCTGGAGAGGGGCTTTGGACAAGGGCCTGTAGGGACAGGCCAAGGGGAATGGCTTTAACCTGCAGAGGGGAGACCGAGATGAGCTCTGAGGGAGAAGCTCTTCCCTGTGAGGGTGCTGAGGCGCTGGCACAGGGTGCCCAGAGAAGCTGTGGCTGCCCCATCCCTGGCAGTGCTCAAGGCCGGGTTGGACACAGGGGCTTGGAGCAAGCTGCTCTAGTGGAAGGGGTCCCTGCCCGTGGCAGGGGTTGGAGCTGGAGGAGCTTTAAGGTCCCTTCCAACCCAAACCGGGCTGGGATTCTGGCATTCTAAGCTCAACAGGGACAAGTGGAAGGTCCCGCCCCTGGGCAAACACAACCCAGGAGTGCCGGGATCTGCCCCAGTGAGGACCCCAAGGACGGAGCAGCCACCCCGGCTCCGGGGGGAGCATCCCGGGGCCAGTGACACGTCCGGTACCACGGCCTGGAGGGAGCGGAGAGAGCAGGGCGGGCACAGCCCGGCCCCAGCAGGCCCCGCCCCCGAGCGGGTCCCGCCCCGAGCAGGCTCCGCCCCCTCCAGCAGGTCCCGCCCCTGGCGCCTGAGAGCGGGCGGCCGCCATTTTAGGTGCGCTGAGTGAGGCCGGAGCGGCGCCGGCGGTGGCGGGGACAAACCGGTGCGAGGGGAGCCGCTCGGTAGCGACTCTAAAGTAGGGCAGTAATCCCTGGAGGTGCTGTGCCGGAGCCTGCAGCCGCCAAGCGGTTGAGGAAGCCTCATCCAAACAAGCTGTTCCCTGCGATCCATCCTGGGGAGCGCGTCCCGAAGTCTCACGCAGCCTGTGCCGTGTCCGTGCTGCCCAGAGCGCTGCAGCGGGGTGCGTTTGCATCCGGCTGAACCGCGGCAGGGGGTGGGAACTGGATGAGCTTTAAGGTCCCTTCCAACTCAACCCATTCCCTGGCTCTGTGGTTAATGAGGCACACAGACCACAGTCCACGTGAGCTCATGGCAGCACCAGGTACCAGCCACGTTCCACATGCACTGTTCACTTAAAGACGCTCTACACAACAGCCACGTTTCCATTCAGACTCTGCTTGCCACCACTCTTGCCCCCACAGCCCTGGCACTGCACGAGGCAGCTCCCATAGGAAAGCAGGATCTGATTTCATCAAAAAGCATTTTCTGATGCTGCAGAACCACCCACATCATGGCCCAAGAACTGAGGCTATCAACTCACACTACAGCACCTTTACCAGCTACTACAGCTCGAGAGCTTCCTGTTCACACTCCAGTCAAGGGGAAAGCCCACTGCAAGCACAGGCTGCAGTCCTGTAACTCAGCACTGCTGAGCACTGACTCCTCAGCCCACAGCCCCATCTGCATCGTTACACAAACACAGCTACACTGCTTCAGGACAAAAACTGGGACAGGCCCAGCAGAATGGAGCACGCTGCAGAGACGGACGAGCCCAGGAGTTTATTACCCGTTATACAACCCAGGCTTAACCCCCATGGCAGGGAAAAGCCATGGGCTAATAGTAACTCCCTTCACGCTGCTCCTGTTCCTGCTGTGTAAGATGATGGTAGGAAGTGGCTGCCAGCATCGCCCTGTTTGCAGAGTGCTTTTTTCCTGGTTCAGGATGTTGTCTTGTGCCCATTGATTTTTTGGAGCTCTGAGACCCATCTTAGTCCCAGGAATGGGATTTCTTAATTAAAGCCTGAACGATACACGTTAAATACAAACTTCCCAGTAAAACAAAGCTGCAATTGATGTGCATGACAAATGTGATATTGTGGCTGGCATACATAGCAGCACGAGCAAATAACAGATGCACAAACATCTTTAATGCTTTATGAGGCCTTGAAGGATATTTCCAGACCTGTCAGGGTTGGAGTTTTGTGTGTGAGGATTCCCCATCTGGCACTGAAAGAAAGGAAATCAAGAAAGGAAATGGGAATCTTTTTAACGTGTCTCTTAATCATTAACCTTCTCAGTAGATGCTTCATTTAATGATGCTGACCATTGAGTTTTCTTTGACACTGCCCTCTGGACTATGGCAGAGGCTGGGCCATCCCTGGTGAAGATACAGAAGATGAGTATCCTACATGTGATGGCCCAGTAGAACAGGACTACTGGAGGGGTTTCTGAAACTGGTTTCTGGGCAGATAAACAAGGTACCATCATTGCAACAGTGCTGGGAAATTATTACACAAGGCCTTGCCAAAGGCTCCATCAGGACAGGTAAAGATACTTGCATTTTCATTGTGTGATTTTCCACGTGTTCCACTGGGATTGGTACTTGGTACAGACTATTTCCATGCACACGTGTGCAAGGGAATGGCAAGGAACACGTAATCATGTGTATGGTTTTGCTGCTATGTTGCACGTTCAGGTGAGATCTCACTGTTCAAATTATGACTTGGCTGCAAATGACATAGTAAAACCACACATTTGAATGCAGCGGTATTCCGAGTTTTTGACCATCGACCGGCACACGGGATTTACTTGCAAGCTCACAAGTATGTCACACACTGAACATGCTGCTTAA